GTTTGAGGGCGCCTGGACGTCACCTTCGGGACCCTAAAGAAAAGAGGCCACGGACCAACTGAAGCAGGAGGCGCTGGAGCCTGAGGAGGAACTCCCTGCATCGCTTATGCCACTATTGATGGAACACCAGTTTTCGGTCTTGGTCACCGATACGAATGCAAGCGACCTCACCATCAGTGACCCAGCGAGGGTAGTGGGGGATGCCTTGAGCAGCATCATCTATGCAGGGGGATCGCCCGCTGACCGGCAAGCGGAGCGCATCGTATCTCAATATTTCAGAGATACATTTGCACCTACTGTCGCTTTGCCTGGCGGCCAGCACGCGAAGCGTATGAGGGTGCTTGCATCTGGTATGCTCTACCACGATTGCTTCACCTCTATGGTGTCTGGCGTTGCGGCCCTCCTCACCCTCCCAGAGGGAGACCCCACGATCACGGAATGGTGCGAAGCACTCCAGAAGCTGCTGCCACAGCATGTGGATGGTGATCTACCCGAGCATTCCGCGATGGATGCCTATATGCTGGTCATTGGAAGCTTCTGGGGATGATCGTTGTTCCGTATCCAGCCCTGGAAAGTGAATATTTCAAGTTGTACAAGGAACACTTGCTTGTGATGGGAGTCAGGCCCCTTTTTCCTACGTTGGATCGTGTGCGACTGGCGTCTTTGTTGACTACGTCACGGGCCTTGCAGACTGAAGACGTCTCGAGCACGCTTTTTCAGCGCTCAGTGACGTTCTTGTTGGCTGGAGGTTGGATGCACAAAGAGCTGCGTGAAGTCGGATTGGCTGTATTGTCGGCTAGTGCTGCACGGATGGTGAATGGGGCAGATGTTCTTCGGACCATCGAAGCGGACATGCTGCTTCTTGCAGTGGAATCAGACGAGACAGATTATGGGGACTTCGCCAAGACAGAGCGCCGCCATGCTCTGCATGCCTTCGTGGACAGTCCTTCTGATTTGACCTTCATGGCATATCACTTTCCTCAGAGCATGACGGAGGAGCTGGTGACAAATATGAACCTCCCACAGAAGTCACATTGAACAAAGCAAAACGCAAAGCAAGACAGACAAGGCGTATTATTTCTCTCATTAGACACCTTCGCAAACAATCAGATAGCGAACTCTGTAGCATTCCAGCATCAACAACGGCAGCAACTTCAGCATGAATGGCATGTCATTCGCAGAGCACAAGGATACGGTAGAGCATGGGATGCATGGGTGCTGAGTTTCGAATGCATTCGCTCCGTCCCAGATAATATACCATCACTTGAGTGGTTAGTTGAGGCTTATCAACTTACAAAATTTGACGCTGATGCTTATGCCCGCCAAGAGGCACAGCTCCGTCGACACCATAGGAGACATTCATTAGTCCTGGCTAAGTCCCACAATAATAATGCGAATGCCTACAGATTCATTAAGGGGAAGGAGCAAAGATTCCTCAACGATTTTCCATATGAAATTACCACTCAGGCTACACTGTGCCGAGCATTTCGTAACCAACCAAAAATCCGCCTCTCAGAACAAGTTGATATTCCGCAAGGGGCCCGCATTGAATTCGGCAATTGTACAGCCACAGTTCACAAAGTTGCAGATAAGACCTTAACGCTTGCCGATGTGGTGGGATGCATGCCTGGTGCGGGTATCGTAAGGCATAAGTCCCATGCATACACCATGCCAACCATGTCACGAGAATTTCAAGCCCTATTGGTCTCAATTTTGGATGCGTGACTCGTATGAGTCTCAACACTCGGATGCTGAGTGGCAACCTTTTATTGATGATCTAGAGGAAACGATTCCACCACAACCCATGTTAACAGTCGCGTTTGATAATCCCAAACTCCTTAAAGAGTCTATCAGACGATTAAAATCGCATAAAGCAGTCGGCATAGACGGCTGGCACGCCGAAGAGCTGCAATGTTTAACAGATACTATGCTGCAAGATTTTACCACCTTGCTCACGCGTGTATGGCACATAGGCCTTAGTACACAGCAGATGAGGGCGCGGACGTTACTTTTTGCAAAAAGGGACCACCCCACATCAATCTCCGATGGTAGACCCATAGCCATACTAGGCTATATGGTGCGCATCACCTCAAAGCTTATCTCTGACCAAATTCTCGCTCAGTGGGCTGCACAATGGCCACCGGTGATAAGTGGGGGTCTGCCACACCGCTCGGCCAGAGACCTATGCATACTACAACAATTGCAAATCGAGCATGCAAAGACTAGCCATACAGCATGGGGAGGGTGGACAATGGACCTTGTGAACGCATTTAACCTCATCCCACGCCGGATCATCAGACACATTCTTCGGCTTTAGGAGTGCCTTCATATATAACCGACTTTTGGTTCCGGTCCCTGACAAGACTGACACGTGTACTGCAGAGCGGAAGGAACCTCAGTGAACCATATCCTTCGACCACTGGTTTGCCTGAAGGGGACAGTATGTCCGTAGTTGGTATGCTGGCTTTGAGCTTCGTGTTCCATGCCAAGCTGCAATCCCCGCGAGTTTTCCCCTATGCCTATGCAGACAATTGGTCATTTATGTCAACATCCGAAAGACACTGCTTCCGGGCTATGACCACACTGTTCAATCTTGTCTCAGACCTTAAGATGCAAATCGACACTTTCTGGGAAAATGCCTCGGCCCTACTGCTAGATCCCACGTTCCAGTTCGTCATTAAGAGCCATGTACATGACCTGGGATGTACTATATCATACACTAACGCAGTGGTGCTTGGACCACTCCGCGATAAAATTGATAATGCCATTGCCAAGTGTAATCGCCTCAGGAAATTGCAACTCTCCCTAGAAGAAAGGGCAGAAAAAATACAAACGGCTATCTGGCCGGCGGTTTTCTATGGAGCCCTTGGGCTTACCATAGGAGATAAGCACTTCACATCCTTGCGTAGGGCAGCCACCAATGTGTTAGTCGGCGACCACAAATACGCCTCTAGTATGATTGCAATGCATTACCTGACAGAGCGAGTCCAGGACCCGTTACTATCTATAGTTACTGATATGCTTACAACCCTCCGCCGCCTATATGTTTACTATCCGGACGCTGCACAAAGCATACTTCACACGCTCCGATCGTTTGACGGTAAAGTTCGCGGACCAGCTAGTGCCCTGGCCTCTTACTTGAATAAGCTAGGCTGGGAAGTCTCAAATACAACCACCCTCCTAGGTCCGGGAGGCCTGCGGGTCAGTCTATCAGGTTCCTCATCCAAGCAGATTAAAGCACAAGTCCGAATAGCCTGGGACTGGCATTGCCATAAGGATGTTTATCACCGGAAGGGTGTTCCCCCAAACCCCTTTGACTCCCTAACTACTATTCGCTTGATGCAGACATTAACTGACAGACAACGCAGAATTTTGGCACTAAGTCTCACGTCCGGATGGCAATCGTTAGGCGCAATAGCAACTTGGTCGGCCACACAAGACCCACATTGCCCGTGGTGTGGCCAATTTGATACACATACCCACCAATTATTAGATTGTCCCGAGTTTGCAACCATAAGAGCCGAGCATGCAGACGCCATCACCTACATTTCGAATAATCACTATGCCTGCTGGTTTCCACTGCCATACCACCATCACAACACAGAACTTGTACGGCAGGCCATGCACCTTCGTGACCAAACTTGCACGATTCACCCGCCACATCACATCCGAATCCCTGACCAAACAATCATATACACCGACGGCACTTGTGACAATCCTCGCGACCCGTATGCTGCACGCGCAGCCTGGGCAGCCATCATAAGGACACCAACTGACCCACTACATGACACAGTGGCCACCAACTGGAACTTTCAGGTGCTTGCGGCAGGGCACTGCCCTGGCCACCAGACGATTGGCCGTGCTGAATTGTATGCCATGGTGGTGGCAGTAGAGCTTATCTCCGCCGACGATTCCGCAAGCCATATACAATTCGTCACCGATTCCCAATATGTTGTCAACTGTATCAATCAAATTGAAGATGAAACAATCTTTAACAGCCCACATAAGAAAGCACACTGGGACTTAATCCGACGATTAATTTTGACCTGGCAACCGGCCAAATTCGCAGTTGTCAAAATTAAATCCCATCAAGACATTACCCAAGCCCAAACCGATCAACAAGCATGGCACATTCGTGGAAATGCCTTTGCAGATCAGACAGCCATGCAAATTCGTCAAATTGATGACCCAGATTTTGCCAATACTTGCACAACAGTCCAGCAGCACTTACAACAACAACAGAAAATACTCAAGAAGGTATACATGTACATGATTGACATTGCGCATGCCAGGATGTCCAAAATAGAGTTGACCAAGCAAAAAAAGAATCTGCATGATTCACTTGGACCTTTGTCTGGCGAGGCTGTTGACGTGTTTCAAAACCAGATCCATAAGCTACAGAACTGGCAAGTGAGGGAAGCGGCCTATGTCATGCCTGCAATTCCGCATAGGTTAGTATTTTGGTGTAGTACATGGGGTACAAACCTCACATACTTAGTCTGGCAGTTTTGCTCACAGCTGCGCTGGCCTGATCCTACCACACCTCGTCAACCAGCTGACCCAGGCATCTCTTGGGTTGAATTAGCGATATCGTTCATGATTTGGTCAAATTGTAAGATGCCCATACGCATCAAGGAAAATAAAGGCTATAAATACTTGGCGTATGATGACCCAGGTACAGTTACTGCCCGTGAAGGCTAAATCCCTTCGCATCCTAGCCGAGAACTTTCGATGGGTGGTCAAACATATTCAGACATTCTCAAGATCGAAAATTATACCAACATACACTAAACAAGGAACATCTAGCCTAACACGATTGGGCTTCACTAATGATCATGAAGGTGGCATTTCGCGAAGGCCCCAGTTGCCTAACGCGGTTGAGACATATAGCACACTCCATACCATGCTGAAGACCATGCCCCATGACCCGCCGTTTAACACTGATGTGCTTTTGCCGTCCTTGCCACAAAATATATCCCCACCGCCCTGGCCCCAGTGGCCAGAAGTTGACAGGAATAAAGCAGACGCATTTTTGCAGCATGTCCGCTATGCACTATTCCGAAAAAAAAGATTTTGACACCATTGCCCATCCGAGCGGGCACTAAATTAGTTCTCTGAATTCGTGTGACTAGAATTCAAGCAAGTTTGAACCTTGGACTGCCGATCATTCGTCATGATAACTGCTCGATCATTTTCACTACCACACACCTTTCGTCGTAGTTGTCTTCTGTGTACATATTCTGTCTAGGATCGACTTTCCATTTGTTCAGGGTCTCACACCACTCTACCCACACCCGCTACAACAGCAAGGGGTGGTGTAGAAGCGAGCAGACATCGCAAGTGAGTGCATCTAAATGGGGGGTGTTTGTTTATCAACAGTCTACATCAGTGGCCATTTCAACACCGTTTGAAGAGCATTTCCGGGTTTCTTCCCCACGAACTCAGTCTGTTTTTTCGGTGCGAGGTGACCTCGCAGCTGGAAGATGATGGAGGAGCACCTCTACACAGCATGTACCTTGGGATTTGTAGCCGGCTTACCACAAAAATGTATGAAATGTTGCCATATTTGCCGATCAGTTGGGATCGTTGTGGTTTTATTTGGTTTTGCTAGAATATATTTAATATTGCAACCCCATTCTGAATTGGAGAGCTCCCTTCCGTGTCCCACTTCCCGGTGCCGAGCCCGAAAAGATTGAGCAGATCGATCTTCATCGATTTCCGTGGTGTTTTTTTGCCATCGCCAAGAGAGGTGAAGTGACCGTACATAGGACCTGTAGCCTGGGGTACCGAACTGGGATAGTCGAACGTTCGGGTCCTTCAACCTCTGGCAGGTTCTGGAACACCTGTAGCCCCGGTCTGCATTGGCCACCGAGAAACCTAAGGACTGAGGTGGAGCGGCGCTGGCCGAACCGCGCCATGCAGATCTTGCCACTTGGGCGCTCATGCAGGGTTTGACCTGTGACGAAGCCGTACTCCATGCATGGAATGTAGATCCGATCAGTTGGGGTATTTTCAGGGTTTGTAGGCAGATATTCCATATATATGCCATATACATGGAGTGATGGACCTCTGACAAAACCCAAGGGTGGTGTTATTTTGAACAAGTTCTAGATTTTTGAGCAGAACACCTGAGTGTCAGACACTCCATGTTTTTCTGTAATTGTCCTCGGTCTATACATTCCCTATGGATCCCCATATATAGAAGCGGGAGGCGCCAGCAGGGTCCATGTTCGTTGCGAACTTGAGAAGGTGGTGGATCCTTAAGAGATTGTTTCAGGGGGTTCAAATCATGGGCATATCGAGAGCACCATGCAGTGTACTCATTGGAGCTATTTGGAGCTCTTGAAGCGTACTTCGACGTTTTGTTCTTTCTCCACGCAGCAGGTGGACCCCCCCCACCCAACAGGGCGCCCGCGTGGAGAAAGCTCCATGCCTTCGCCCAGGACATGGATGGATGACTTCAAGCAGCACCAGGACACCGGAGCGACGCATTTGCACTACCACGTCCACAGCTCAGAGGTGGCCCTGTCCATCGTGCGTCCCTGGGACGGGAATAGACCGCCTGAAAGCCGGGTGTTGACCGCCTGTCTACGCACGAGAGCGCACGAGAGTCCGGTTTTGATAAGCCAAGTTCGGGGGGAGGCTGACTGGAGGGTGCTTGTCGTCCTCTCAAAGTTGGCGGATTTGAAGGACATAGACGTGGCAAAGAAATATCAGCTGAGCTGATATGAGCAACATCGAGGTAGCTGCTGAACCAGTGGCTGGAAGGTTTGCAATCAACTTTCCCTAGGGCTCCAGTCATATCTGCTGGCCCGGGGGCCAGCAGGGTTCAGTCATACCTTTTGAGGAGGTACGACTGGAGGCCTGAGGCTATGAGACCCAGAGTTTTCCTGGAAGACCGCCTGAAGCTGAGGAAAGGACCATGAGGCCTACAAGAGGCTGGTGGCAGAGGCGGATGAGCACGGCTACGCGCGCGGGTGTCCGGGCGACAGAACGATGAATGACGGGAGGTGCCCGGATGGAAGAAGACCGAAGCCAGATTTGACAATTGCATAAATTATTGCATACAATCACACTTAATCAAATGATATAGTGATATGTTATAATAGTCAGGAGTCGTACTTCCAGATCTTCCAAGAACTGGATGTGTCTGAAACTCTCCGCAACAAAGACGGAAGGTGATGGCACCCCCTGCTTGTAGAGGATTTCAGGATATTTAAGCGTCTTTCCAGGGGCCAGAACTTTCAGAGAGCCTGTGCCTCAAACAATCCGACTAATATATATATATATATATACCCAAACCACCAGAACCTTCCAAGGTGGTTTTTGGACACCCCATGACACCTCTTAACCTCTAAGAGGCTATTCATAGACACCCCTTGGAGGGTCCTGGTATTAAAAAAATATCAATATAGGTAATGATCGTCATGGTCGTATCAGACACTGACTGAGCCAGACTGTTCGAAGTTAAGCAGCCCAGCCCAGCCCAGACACAAGTTGACACAAGTTGTGTCGAGAACCGAGCGTCGCCCTGGAATCACCGTGGAGAAAACACTTGCTCGTGGAGAAACATGGTCATCCAAGGGCGCATGCCACCCACAGGGAGTGTAGGTTATTCCGCCCCCACCCCACAGCAGTCTGAGAATTCTACAAGAATTCATGGAGTGCGAAATGTCAGATTGACTGCAACTTGAGGTGAGAACGTGGAATATGTACAAAGGGGTGCCGAACTTGGAGGATAGGGGTGCCCCAAACATTCACTCATTGGATGGGACTAAAAACCACCCCGACATGTGACTGCTGGTCAGACTATTCATGACTAGTGACTAGTTCTACGCTGACCCTGAAACAACCACGGCCTATGGGGAGGTCGTCCCCCTATGCCAGCCCCATCAAATTTGAACGCTGTGGGTGGTCCAATCCTCCAAATTCAGAACTGTGGACGGGATCCAACCGGGACCAACCTTTCTGACATCCAAAGAGATGGGTTTTTGAGGCCTGAACTGGGACCCATTTGCCAACCTCTCTAGGCTGGGAAGAGCCAACCCGTCCGAGGCATTGGATCCACAGCCCAGTGCCCCAAGACCCTTGGGCCCGGCCCCGCCCGGTGCCAGCGCGCGGGCCACCCGCGCTGGCGGGCGCCGGCGTGGTGGCGTGGGCCACCACCAGTGGCTTGGACCGCAGGATTTGAGAGGCGACACCATTCTGACTTTAAGTCATCATTCCTACACCATTCTGAATGCAACACTTGGAGATGCCTACACTCCAAGTCCAGAAAAATCTAAACATGATAAACACATGTGTGTTTTGCTTGCTGTATGCTGTATACCGTGTTTTTACGAAGAGGATGGTCGTCAGGCTTGAAGAAATTGAATGCAAGGATTTCTGAAGGCTCTTGGTTATAAGGCAGCAAGGCACCACCGCAACAGCATGCAACAGCAAACCATCACCAACCAGCAGACAAACAGACACACAGACGCTCATGGTTTTGTCATGTTTTGGCAGACAGCTCGACTGTCAGTGCAGGCACAGAGCAAGCACAAAACACCGCCAGAACCTGCTTTGGTGGATGGGGGGTGCTTGTGATTTTCCCCAACTGGGTGAGCCCCCTTCCTGGATCCCGGTGTTTCTGGGGCTTGGCGCCGCACCTCCTTCAAGCGGCGCATGGTCAGTACGATTGGACGGACTTGGATGCACCAAATGGCCCCAGGAGTGAAAGCATCGAGTCACCAGAGGTTGAAGAACCCTATAGACTATAGGTACCCTTGTAGGGTCCTAGTTCAGGTCACTGGATACCTCTGTAGGCAGTTGGGTGTGTTTGGATGATTGCTATTTGTGGAGACGCTCTGGCCCGGAACCTGAACTCCTGGCTCCCGTCCATCGACCAAGATCGGGGCGCGTTGTTCCGGCTTGAGACCTGGATCTCCCTCGATTCGAACCTGGATTGAGTATATTGGACCTCCAACCACCTCCCAAGACATGCCCCCTACTGATCCAAACGGGAGTCATGCCTGGGCTCCCAAGAGAAGGTCTATATGTTTTGGGGGGGTCCCAGTACACACACAGAGCCGTTGGGAAAGGGGTCTATCATTTAGAGATAGAGGCCTGCAACTGAACCATCATCACCGATTGGTGGCCCAATCTATATATTCCCTATATAGGCCCAATCTAGGGCTCCCCAGTCATACCCCTCAGGTCTGACTGGACCTGGAGATGGCACCCACCGCCCCCAGTCCCGAACCTCAGAAGGTATGACTGGAGCCCTCCACGAAGCCGCCAAGGTCGCTCCCATAGCCGCACCAGCTCCAGTAGTGGATCGAGCGCCGACCACGAGCGGAGTCCATGAGGTGCGGAGAAGGCACGGAGAGTCTCAATAAGCTGAGTGGGCTGAATCAATACCTCCCAGACGAATTGGTTTTAGGGAACATCTACCAGGACCGATGCCTTCTGAGGTGTCTACCAAATAGCCGGTTTAACAGGTGGTGTCCAAACCACCTGTTGGAAGGTCCTGGTGCAGGAATTCCATCATTTTGAGGGTGACAACATCTGACAACTCACTCTGATTTCCTGTCGATGTTCCCTTGAGCAACCGGGCCCGACACAGTTCAAAGGTCGTTCGCTCGTTGCATGTTGGACTGCTCTTGCGTGAACAGGTGGGTCATGGCTCATCCCCGGTGGGTCATGAATCATGTATATATGCCATATTTGCCGATCAATTGAATTGGGGTGGTTTCAGGGGTCAATGTATATATATATATATATACCTAGATCTTCCAACTATGCAACATGTATGCCTTTTGGCTGGTTTTCTACACTAAAAGGCATAAATTTTGCATAGTTGGAAGATCTAGGTATATGCCATATATGCCAGTCCCATGGAGTGTTTGGGATTGGCGGTGGACTCGGCTACAGCCTCTCCCGGCTAGAAACCGAGACCGGCGGGACGCGCGAGATTGGGTGTCTCGGAGCGAGAGTGGTTGGTTTGCAAGAGGGTTCTTTTAAGAATTGGTTATAACCCAAACGCTCCATGTATGCCATATTTGCCTACATTGGGGTGGTTTGGGGGGTCAATGTAGGCATATATGGCATACATGGAGTGTTTGGGGTAAGGTTGGTTTGCCAAGAATAGCCAACCTGCAAGAGGTGTTTCTTTCTCCTCCAGCTTCTTCAGCCAGCAAATTGCGATCAGCAAGTGGCCGAAGACTGGTCCAAGGCAGAATTCAACAACCGATAGAAGCAATGATTTCATGGAACGCTGCATTGTTGTGTTGGTGCATTTGTTCTTGGATTGACATCAGCACGCGACGTGGAAAGGCCTTGTTCGGGGTGCCGCTGCCGCATGGCTTTGTGCCGCTGATTGTGCACTCACACATTCCCTCTCACCGAATCAGAGAAAGCAAACGCACATCTTCTCCATAGTCTGGCAAGTGCTCCGGACGTTGGAACATATTTCCAAAAATGACTTATACCAAAGATCCAACTCGTGAATTCCAAAGGGATGAGACTTCGTCAGGGCCAGGTTCCTCGAACTCTCAACACCGCCCCGGCGCCGCCCTCGCAGGCCACGCAGGCGCCGCCCTCGCCACGGCCTTGGCCTCGCGGCACTTTTCGACGCCCAGGACCTGCCAATTTTGCCAACAGCAACCGGTACAAAAAGGGGTCAGTTTGAGGACGCCAGACCTGGACATGATTTTCATGACCCTTGATTCACCTACTGGCCAGGATGGCCTGCTTCTGTTTGACATGTCCTGGGTGCCTTGCTCCTGGTTTGATAGTTGATCAACGCCTTTGATTTCAGATGGATGGCATGCGCCACAGACACTTTCTCGGTTCGGTCCGGCATTCGAAAGAAGTGTCCTTTAGCACAACCACATAGTTGTGCAGGAATGACAGGGAAATCAATGCTCAGACGTGCCCAGATACTCCATTTTTACCCACTTGATGGGGTAGGCGGTAGGCTTGATGAGATCAATGTGTCTTTTCTCCATAGATGGAGTGTTCGAGATAGGTTGTTTGCTGGTCCACTTGTCCAGGTCGCTCACTATACAGCCTGACATGTCTCGGTCTGTGATCTCTTGCTTTAAGGAATCGGAAGGCCCAAAGGATCATAACAGATCTCGGGGTCTCAGATGTTGAATGGGCCCATTGCAAAAAACACTTGAGGGCCCAACTCATGTTCGACCCCTCACTGTGAGACCCCATGAGACCCCACTGTGATAATCACACGCACATTTTTATCACTTCGCGATACTTGTGCCGTGCAAACCGTGCCACTTGGATCTTGTAGCGCTGGATCACACGTCTCGTCAAATTTGCTCGGTGGCAAACACGTGCGATGTGGGAAACTAGGCCGACAAAACCCTCTGCAGAGAGCAACTGGTAGAAACGACAATTGATTCGAGTCTGCTTCACAGTACGAAGTACATGGTACAGATAATGGTGCTTCGGCGCCAGCTGCCACAATGACCTGTTGCCACTATGAGCTCCTGTAACAGCTGCTGACAAGCTTCTCAAACGAGCGTAACTCAAAAGGTGCAGCTGCCCTGCTTTGTAAATCTCTGTCGCCATCCTTTCACTCAACACCAAGGGGTACTCAGACAGCAGCTGCAAAAAGTTTTTGTACGCAACGGCCGTTGTGGCCACAAGCTTATCCAAGTCTGAAGCACCTGGGCGGGTTGCCCAAAAGGTTGCAGCGTCTGCCAGCCAAAAGCTCAATCGCTTACCAGCAATACCTTTGGACTGTAAAGCCGGATAGTCAGCCCGGGTGAAGCGGTGCAAACGAGAACAAGTGAACCTTGCTTGGGTGGTGGTATGGCGATTTTGCTTCTTCCATACACCGAACTGCTTGAAAGCTTCACCAAGACGGTGTTGAAGAACAAACGGATAGCGCCCCCTGGACCATGCACCGAAGCACCCACTCTCACAAAGGAATACCAAAACTGATCCTGCACAGTGAGGGTCTGAACAAACCTGTAACGATATGTGTTGGGTCCTCGTCCACTATGAATACAAACACCTGCAGTAGTTTGGAATTTATCACACCCAAAAAGAAGGGGATACTTAAGACTCACAAGACCATGTTCTTTACATGTTGCAAAGGCTCCATTGAGGAGACGACCAGTCCCCAGTAGCTGGCCATGAAGAACATCGTGTGTGAATCTATGCAAATGGGCACCAGGCACCTTGAAAGTGATTGATCCTTAGCTGGGCTGGGTCAAGGTTGGTGAACATGAGGTAGGATGTTGGCCCCACAAAACAATCAATTGAACACACCGCGGTACATGTTATTTACATGCAAGCTGCTTTCATCAGGTGTCGTCGACTGCATGAACTCTTGATGGCTTATCAGAGTAGAGCTGTGGGCCGCATCTTCCCTCATGTCCCCAAGAGTCATGGAGACTTGTGCATGCACCTTGCAGCACCGGCACCAACTACACATATCATTGCTCATATAGCTGAACAGTTTGTGCTTGTGCAACATGTACTTCAAGTCACCTTGGTTGCTTGAGAACATAAAGGTGTAATCAGCAGACCACACAAACTGTTCACGAATGTCGGTCATCTTGATGATCCGATCACATACCGCTGACATGATGTCATTGTAAGTGAAATCAGACTCAAGATATTCAGCATACGTTGTCAGCAGACAATACCTCAAGAGCGGAGGCCGGTTGTAGCAAAAGTCCGATGTCCATGCTAAGGCCATGATGCTCCCAACTTCAGAGTTTTTGTATGTAGCAACCTCATCTCCATAAAGTGACAAAGGGAGAAGGCCCCGACGTGGGTATGTGGCAGCAGGATGTACTTGAAACCACTCTGATGTAGAATGGACATGGTTCCAATACTCTTCAATCTGTTCATGGGACATGTCCCCGCAGAAAAACCAATGAAACATGTCTTTGCCACCCATGGTCCAAATAGCAGATGCCATTGAGTCTGGCATGATTACCGGCACCTTGGCCCAAACTACACGGCTGTTCTTGTGGTCCCACATCCTGACATCAACTTCTGTAGGCTGGATTTGAAGACTGAGCTTCTCCAAAATATGGTGGAGGTCTCTTTCAGCATTCGACGGGTGTTGGCCACTTGTAGCAATGCGAGCTAGCCGGCTGATCATATGAGTTTGTGGGATATATGCTCCAAGACTGGTACAAAGATCTACCGCTGCATCGGCCATTTGTTGAACCTTACAGAGGGTGCTCCTCAAAGAATGGGTCACCACAGATGGTTCTGGTTTCCAAGACCACTTGCAAAAAGGGAAAAAAAAGAAACAAAAGAGCAGCACAGCCATGCTTCTTTTATTGCATGCATTTTCCCAGCTGCAAAATCATCCACCAACAAGCTCCAGAATCGAGAACCCTTGTCGTCCATGGCATGCAGATTTGCTCGGACTGCAGCATGCGAAGACGACGAAGCTGAGGCACGTGGAGCATGATCTACTGCAACGTTGTCTCGATTTGCCTGCATTTGAGGCACAGTGATGGGACGGAATGAGAAAGCTTGAGTACCGCAGGAATTGAACAAGTTAGCATGACAATGATGACAATGCACATGGTTCCATATATGAACATCACTCGTATTTGTTTCCTTGCAACCCCATCCCTGCCTTTTTAGCTTCCAAGCGCCGAATAGTGGCAGCAACATCAGCTGGCCCATGATGGCCTGACACAAATTGCACATTGCACAACCTCTTTTGTTCCATTACCCTTTTAAGGGACCTTTGGTATGCGAAATGATGTAAAGAAACACACAATTGGGCAATGGGTACAGCTGTTTGGGAAAGATCACTCTAGTTGATATTCCATGGATGCAATTCGGGAGTTCTCTTTGCGTTCCTTTCCCATCGTTCGATGTGGTGCCATTATGGCAGGCATGTTGGAAGGTCCAACATGCTTCTCCCCATGCAGCTAGCATCAAGTACTGGCACATGACATTTTAGCATGTCCAGTGATTGCAACTCAATCACCTGCTAGTCTTCGGCAGCAGCCGTCTCGGCCTTTGCCTTTTTTTTGGCTGCTGGGCGCAACACTTGATGTGCGACACGAGCATCCTCTAGGTACAAATCCAATCGCTGAATTGCCAACTTCACAGCTGCTTCGCAGGGATCGACATCGCACTCCTGACATGGGCATGGACGTCAATCAAGTGGCAGGCTGGGCTTGTGCAAGAGAGTTCAACAAGAATCAACACGCTAAACGAGGAAGGATCCTGTCGTTCATCTTCCTTCTTCATAGTGAACCCCTGTAGCTGAAAGAACGAGGCTTCCAATTCACGAGCATGAGTGGCAAGCGTTGTTCCTGGGATCGAAGGTCATATACGATCGACATCGATTGAACCAAAAAGAAACTGCATGCATGACGTTGAGTGCAAGATGTTTGGAAACTATAATATATGGAAAGTTGCTCAACACATCCTGATGTTTGATGTGCTGCAGCTTGATAGGAAGCATCTTGGCACCAGTCAACCCATTAGTAACCTTTCCAAGAGCCCATGAAGCAGCTTCCCATGGATCGTCCGGTTGTATCCTAGGATGGGCTATCATGGAACAAGAATAACATGTTATGCATGTGTCCAAAAACACCTCTCAAAGCGCAACTCAGAAACGAATTGTCCTTTTTGGGTTTCTCTTCCTCGACATCATTCTCATCGGTCTTTTTGTCCTTCCTTCTCCGGCGGCCCCCCTTCCCATTCTCCTCTGGCGGCGGCTGCTCGTTTACCGCCGGGACTAGTCCTCCCCCCAACATGTCGGGCAAGGCAAGCATGTTCTCCAAGTTCGCTCCAGAAGCGAAGCGTGCAGCATCCTGCCCGCATTGAGAAATGGATGGGCAATATCTATAGCTTCTTTATGTTCATGGCAGCACACGGTTGTCATGGTTGCACTTCATCCATGGCCTCAGAACCACCATCTAGGTCCAAGTCCAACCGTTGTTCGATCACATCCTTTGTCTCGTGCTCTGATGTAGTGGAGATATCAAGTGTAACCTGAGAGATGGCTACCAAACAGATAGTGCATAGTACATAGCACCACCGATGTTGTCTTTAGAAGCACGGCCTGTAGGAGCATGCATCCCATAAGCATTCATGAATATCAGCCTAGATACGTAATACAACCGCATACTTTCGTCACCAGGCATGTCAGGATGGTCACGAACTAAGCCCAGCTGAGTTTTACGACGTATTATTGAGTTCACAACGTCTTGGTTGCCATTGTACATCACCAATAGCTGGTCACGGGTTCGCCAGCCTGAAGAAAAACAACCCCTCAAACAACACGATTCCAGTCCTGACCTGAGAGGCCTTGCCTTGTTGGTGACGACCAAGCTCGCGATCTGTGTGGGACCTGGCCACTGAGACTGAAAGCCTTGGCAAATCAAGTGGAGCTTCCAAGCGGGAGAACGAGTGAACTGAATCGACTTGAATGGGGAATCATGCCATATAAAAAGAAACACAAATGCATGGGCAATGCAAATGTGTGCAACCATGAAACATACCCCACTTGCCACCAGCATTAAGCCAAGTTTGGAACAACTGGTTCTTTGCGGTCCTAGATCTGCTTTTGCAAGCAGTGTCCCAAGCTTGTTTCATAGCATCAGGAACAGGCTCTGGTGATGCGATTTCCCCACGGACTTGCCTCATGCATTGCCAGCACCAATTATAGTGCGTGGATCCCATGTAAAAAAAAACAT